GTGCTGTGCTTAGTTGCATCTGACTCTTTGCCACCCCATGGACTGAAGGCTGCCAGGCTCCTCTGTCCATGGGGATTCTCCAGGCAAGGATACTGGAGAGGGTAGCCTATCCATTCTCCAGTGGATCTTCCCGACCCAGGAATCAAACTGGGGTCTCCTGCATTGCAAGTGGATTCTTTGCAAGCTGAGCTACCAGGGAAGCCCCAAAATATTTATAGTGTATGTTAAAATCTGGTAAAAAAAAAAAAATTCTTCTTTTTAATCCTTCCCACCTCCTTCCCCCCCACCAGCTATTCTCACATATTTTTCCATAAGAATTTCTGAATCAGCTTTTCTGGCTCAAACACGGTTGGCAGTTACCTCTCTGGATATCTCTTCTCCAACTTTGCCTTACTCTCCAGGGTTTCTTGACCTCGGCATGACTGGCATTCCAACACAAATCTTTGTTGTAGGAAGCTGTCTGTGCCCTGCAGGGTGTTTAACAGCACCCTGGCCTCTATTAACCAGATGCCAGAAGGAACCCCGCACCTCCTACCCCCAGTTGTGTCCATGAAAGATGCCTCCAGGCATCCCCAATATCTGAGAACCCCTGACTCGCTCTCATTTAGCTACACAGGCCTTCTTGCTGCTCCTGAAGCACGCCAAGTATGCGCCTGCCTCATCACTTCCTTTAAATGTCTGCTCAAAGGACTTCCCTGGTGGTCCAGCAGTTCAGAATCTGCCCTGCAATGCAGGGGACATGGGTTTGATCCCTGGTAGGGGAACTAAGATGCCACATGCCAGGAAGCAACTAAACCTGAGAGCCACACTTGAGTCTGTACACCACAACAAAAAATGCAGCCAAGATCTGATGCAATGCCCCCCACCCAAATCTTTGCTCAAATGTTACTACTACTCAGCCTATTTTAAATTATGACTCCCCACCCACCCCATGCTCTCTATACTGTCCTTGATTTTTCTCTCTTGCATTTCTTGCCTAATATACTATATAATATACTTCTCCAGCTCTTTGTCTCTCTCTCCCCCATCTTTAAAAATGTAAGCTGCACAAAGGCAAGAATTTTTTTGTTCACTCCTATGTTCCCCTATGCCTAGAACACACCTAGTACATAGTAATGACTCCATACGTATTAGAGGAATAAATTAATCACAGCAGGTTTATATACTAGGTTAGATGAGAAATGCCATCTTTACAGTGTTGATCCATCTTACATAACAAAATGGCATTTTCCCACACTTTACAACTTTTTGTCCACCTGGAAAGTTTTAAAATTTGTTACAAACAGGGGACTTCCCTGGCGGTCCAGTGGTTAAGACTCCGAGCTCCCACTGCAGTGTATATGGGGTTTGATCCCTGATCCGGGAATTAAGATCCCACATGCCTCAAGGTGTGACCAAAAATAAGAAATAAGAAATACTTACAAGTAACAAATACTAAATGTTTTTTGCACTAAACATTTGCCCAGGCTGTTTCCCCCTATTTGTGTACTTAGGAAACTAAACTCCTCGGCTCACAGGCAGGGAGGACAGGCTGTCAGCCGGGAACCAGGCCTGGTGACTCTCTTTGATGGTGACCCTTGGGCCTGTGGTCATGTCCAGAGGCCCCTTGCTGCCCATTTTCCCCATCACTCAGACCAGAGAGCTTTTTCACAGGCTCCTGGTGAGGCCTCCACCTTGGCTGGGGCCCTTCCTAGGCGTCCATCTTTGTCTTCCTTCCTGACGGAGCACCAGCTAAGGAACACTGAAGAGACAGTGGCTCAGGACAATCCTGCTGCGTGCAGCCTCCCCGGAGACCCAAGGGCTTGTTCTGAGCTCTCGAGTGGGGCAGGTGACAGACACGCTGAGGGTGACCTTACCTTTCCTGGTCAGCCTGACAGGAGGGGTCTGTGCTAGTGGACAGGCTGTCCAGCAAGCAAGGGTGTTGGGGTGTTGGCCTGTCCTTGGCAGGCTCTGTCTGCGAGGAGAGAAAGAGGGGCCTTCCTTCCCTTTCTCTGTTTCCCAAGACCCTTCCAGATGGGCCCCTGCTCTCCACCTCGCACTGCACTCCCGGCCAGGCCTGAAGTGTGGGAGTAGTGGGGAGACCCAAGGCACAGCGGAGCTCTGGACCTCCTCCCTGGGTGTGGTCTCTTGCCTGTGGAACAATGGTCTGGGAGCTCTGGGCTGGGCACATGGGGGAGCGGGCACTTGGTGAAGGGGGTCCTCTTACATCGTCAGCCATTGCTGCTGCTCTTGGAGTTTCCTTTCTGGCAGGGGCTATGAGGATGCCCGTCAGGACCACAGGAGCCTCAGGTCCAGCCCAAGGTCAAGGTGCCCTCCAGATGGATCTGAAGCTGTGACTGGGTACCACCCTGCTGGAGTAAGGCCTTTGGAAGCAGTAAGCGCCAACAGATTATGGTCCCCTCTCCTCTTGTGTGGGGCTTCCCTTGTGGCTCACCAGTAAAGAATCGGTCTGCAATGCAGGAGACGAGGGTTTGATCCCTGGAGGGGGGCATGGCAACCCACCCTATTATTCTTGCCTAGAGAATCCCATGGACTGAGGAGCCTGGTGAGCTATGGTCCATCGGGTCACAGAGTTGGATGCGACTGAACACACTCACACACACACACACACACACACACTCTCTCTCTCCTGTTGTGTAAGTCAACATGAAATAAGATGATGTTTTGGGGGGGCGAGACCAGAGGCCCTGACAGTACAAAGATCTGTGTGGTGTCCTGCCTGCCCTGCCCCCAGCCAGGCCTGGGACCTCCCGAGGTGGGGATGTGGTGGCAACTCTGCTCAGAGTCTGGAGCCGAGCCAGTGGGCAGGCCTGGGCTGTCTCAGAAGCTTGGCTGCGGGGCCCTGGAGCTAGCAGGGAGGCGGGGGAGGCAGGGAGAAGGGGAGAGGCCGGCTCCTGGCCGCTATGGGGCTGCGGCAGTGTCCTGCGGCTCACCACTTCACATTTATAGCTCCAGTGCTTCTCAGCTTACTGTCCCTGCGGTGGGAGGCCCGGCTCTCTGGAAACCGCAGCTGTGGGGTTGTTGGGTGCCTGCCTGGGTGCTGAGCTGTGAGGGAGGCTCAGAAGTTTCCCAGGATGGTGAGCCTCAGCCCCAGCCTCCTGCCTCATGCTTGCCCTGGTCTCTCCTAGAATCTGGCTAGAAGCAGGAGGGTCCTGCCAGGATATTGAGGGCCCCCTGATACCCCTCACCCAGTTGGCCCTCCATGAGGAGCAGGAACCTTGCTGGAGAGCAGAGTGCTCCCTAAGAGCCCAGTGGGACTCTGGGACAAGGGAGCTGATGGAGGAGGCTCACAGAACCAGGGCTGGGGTGCCCTGGGCTTGATTCTCTCTTCTTTTTTAAAGACATAACTTTTAAAAAGATTATGATGAGTTATTTTTCACTTTTTTTTTAGGCCACACCATGCGGCATGATGGATCTTAGTTCCCTGACCAGGGGTCAAACCCATGCCCCCTGCATTGGGAGCGCAGACACTTAACCACTGGACCACCAGGGAAGTGCCTGGAGCCTGATTCTTGATGAGCACATGGGCAGCATGGAGCGGCTGCTGTCAGTTGGAATTTCTCACCCTGCCAGGTTTCACACACGGCTCCGGCGCTCGAATGACCAGTCAGCCCCATGCTTTCCGGGCCTTGAGGCACGGCCCTCAGCAGACTGGTGCGGCAGGTGCGGCTCCGTTTGGCCAGGGAGGGGTCTTAAGCTGGGAGAGGGTGGGAGGTAGGTGAGCTGGCTAGATGCTGGCAGCCCAGGAGGAGCCAGAGGACCCCAAGCCTGACCCCAAAGCCCCATTCCTGTTACTGTACCATGCAGACCTTGCATTTGGTCTGAACTAGGGAGTAGGGTCCTGTGGCTTGACAGAGACTTGGGAGGAGCAGGGCCTGGCTTCTGGAGCCAGGAGCCGTGGATCTGCCCTGCTAAGGCTCAGTTAAGGGGCCGACTCCCTGCCCTGCCCTGCCCTTCCGCCACCCCACGGGCCGTAGGCCCTGATGAGGGCAGGTCCAGGGAGGGAGAGAGGGAGTCTGGGGCCAGGCAGGGGACAGGCCCCTGGGGTGTTTGGAAGCTCTCACCCTGCAATCGAGGGAAACGCCAGAAAGCAAACAGGAGGGGATGGGGCAGGTAGGGCCATGATTACCGGGTGGGTGGGGTGTAGAGGCGCCCTGTGGGAAGGCAGGGCACACCTTGGGGAGGTGAGGCGGGAGGGCAGTTACTAAAATACAGCCGATTTTCGTATAAATAGGATACCTATGGGGCGTGTTTCTTTTTTAAAGTCAGGTTTTATTTCTGTGTTCCCTTCCTCAGCAAACATCCCTGGCGCGCCAGCTCTCAGTGGTTTCAGCCTGGTGACTTGGGTGGCTGACTGGTTCGGGTCATGGTGCCCTTGATCTGGGTCTCTGAAGCAAAGAGCAATTCAGTCCTACGTTTACTGACCCCTGCAAGATGCCTGCTCTGCGCTGAGAGACGGGGTCACAGGGAAGACTGGGGCTCTGTTCCGGCCCCCAAAGGTATACCCAGGTAAACAGTCCTCCTCCTGATTGTCCTGGAGCAGATGGGTTCAGCCGGAATCAGGGAAGTCTTCCCAGGATCTATTCTAGGCATAGCTTTTTTTTTTTTTAATTATTTGACTATTTTTCTTGGAGGATAGTTGCTTTACAATGTTGTGTTGCTTTCATTGTATAGCAAAGTGGATTAGCTATACCTGTAAACATATCCCCTCTTTCCTCCCATTTTCTCTTCTCCCATTTAAGCCACCACAGAGCCTGGAGTAGAGTTTCCGAGGTTGTGCAGTAGGTGCTCGTTAGTTATCTATTGTATACACAGTGGTGTAAATATGTCAATCCCAGTCTCCCAATTCATCCCACCCACCACCCCCTTCCCTCCTTGGTAGCTGTCCATTTGTTCTCTGTGTCTCTATTTCTGCTTTTCAAGTATGTCCCTCTATACCACTTTGTCTAGATTCCACACACATGCGTTAGGAGGTGGTATTTGTTCTTTGCCTTTTGACTTCATTGTGTGTGACAGTCTCTAGGTCCATCCATGTCTCTGCAAATGGCACAGTTCCGTTCCTCTTTCGGGTTGAGTAATATTCCATTGTGTATATGCACCACTTCTTTATCCATTCCTCTGTTGACGGACATGCAGGTTGCTTCCATGTGCTGGCTATTGTAAATAGTGTTGCAATGAACACTGGGAAGCATGTATCTTTTTGAATTACAGTTTTCCTGGGGTATATGCTCAGGAGTGGCATAATATGGCAGTTCTATTTTTAGTCTTTTAGGGAACTTCCATACTGTTCTCCATAGTGACTGCACCATATTTACATTCCTGCCACAGAGTAGGAGGATCCCCTTTTCTGCACACCCTCTCCAGCATTTGTTATTTGTAGATTTTTTTGATGGCGGTCATTCTGACTGGTGTGAGGTGATAACTCACTACAGTTTTGATTTGCATTTCTCTTAATAATTAGCGATGTTGAGCATCTCTTCATGTGTTTGTTGGCCATCTGTACGTCTTCTTGGGAGAAATGTCTATTTAGGTCTTCTGCCCATTTTTTGAAGACCATCTTTTGATTGGGTTCTTCATTTACTTGGTATTGAGCTACATGAGCTGTTTGTATATTTTGGCAATGAATGCCTTTTCAGCTGCTTCTTTTGCAAATATCTTCTCCCATTCTGAGGATTGTCTTTTCTTTTCATTTATAGTTTCCTTTGCTATGCAAAAGCTTTTAAGTTAATTTAGGTCCCATCTAGCCATAGTTTTGAAGGATGAATAGTTTTTCAGACTCTCCTTTTTTCTTACAACAAATAGTAGGCAGCCACTATGTCCCAGGTGTCAAACTAGTAACTGAGAGGCAGGACACAGGCCCTTCCCTTTGAGAAGTCTGGTAGGAGAGTCATGTGAATAGTGACAATAATGTCCTAGATGTAAAAACATAAGTGCAGAAGTGTGTGCAAGATGCATCAAAGGCCAGAGGAAGGAACTGTCTGTTCTATAGCGGGACACGAGAGCAAGGGTGGGAGCAGGGAGCTGGCTGAGGCAAGGAACCGTGTGTAGCAGGAGAGTTGTGCTCAGGTTACTGGGACTGGACTTTCTTGGGCCCAAGTGCTTACCGAGTTGCCGGGGGGTGTAGACCACCACCCAGCAGCTGGGTGCAAGCCTGGTGGTTTCAGGTCAGCTGCCTGTGGACGAGCCATGAGATCTGGGGACCACCGGACTCCGGTTCCCACTCCTTCACACATGAACTAGTGGCCTGAGGCCCCACGCTTGACCTCTCAGCTCCACGTCCTCAAGTCTAAACTGGAGACTGCGATAATACTAGTCACACCTACTTGGCAGGGGTGACATGAGTAAATGGGATGATACAAGTGGAGCGCCTCCGACAGAGCCCAGACCTGCAGTTTACGTAAAGTGGGAGCTAGTCGATCTCCCTGCCAGGGTCACCTGGAGGCAGGCCTGTGTCTGAGGGCGGGGGGCAGGGGGAGGAAGGGTAGTGGGGTTCCAGGTCTGTGGGCAGGGACAAGCCCACTCCTACTCTATCAGGGGCTGAGAGGTGATCTTTGGTGGATCCCAGGCCGGGTTAGTCACAGGGGCTGCCTGTGTGAGCCTGGCTGGCTTGTGCTCTTTGTGTTTTTTCCTCCTCTTTTCTAAACCAGGCCCCTTTGGGCAATGCCAGCCTATATGTGACAACTGTGCCCGACACCCAGGGCTTGGCTATCTGACCCTGGGACCCTGGTCAAGGTCTGGGGCAGGAATCTTTCAGAGTGCAGAAGCTCCGAGATGGGCCTGACCATGGGAGGTTGGCCTGCTCTAAGGATGGTGCCTCCATAGCTCTCCAGACCCTGGCTTTGGCCCAAGGCTCAGGCTGGGCAGAGCATCACAGCATCAGGGGTCTTCTCAAGGGCCCAGTGCTGACCTGGCCTTCATGCAGGCTGCTCTGGGAGGGGCTCCACTGAGACGGGTCTCGTGAAAGGCCAGTTACCTGCCAGTGCTTGGCGTCCAAAATAGAATCTGAAGGAGCAGCAAAGCCTTTAATTCAATGTGTCTCAACAGTGGGTCGGTGTGGGGATAACTATGATCTGACTGGTCATGGGCTGTAATTACGGAGTCAGAATAAAAAATTACAGGCATTGTGTGGACTTGTTTTAAATATAACGTAATCCACACCATCCTCTCTCTTATTTGCTAGATTTGAGGTGCACTCTTGGGCAGTTGGCACAGGTTCTGCCTGACGTGTAGCAGATAAAAATGGCCCTTGCCCAGTGAAAAGGGCATGGCAGGAGGCCTCCCCAGACTCTTAATGTTCCCGACTGCCCATGGCCCGTAATCCACAAGCATACGTGCACATGGGTATGCGCAGGCCTCTGTCGTCCACGTTATCTGTACCCCGCATCTCCCCCACCAGCCTCCCTGTCTCCAGCCTCCCCCAGCCAGTCTACCAGAAATATCTTTGTAAAACACAGTCTTGAGGCTTAAGACCCATTAATGGCGCCCCTCTGTCTATAGGGTAAATCCATCCAAACTCCTAGTTCTTTCAGTTTCAAACCACCTTTCAGCATCATGTCTGGGAACAACAAGCAGCCATAGAACTGAGGTGAAGGGCCCGGGGTTCCCGACTATGCAGGATTCAACTCACAGGTTCCATGCCTCATGAGCTGAGTGACAGTCTGAGCAGGTTATCCCATCCACGTGCTTCAGCTCCCTGATACTGTAGGTGTTTGAGAGGATGGCATGAGATAACACATTCCTGGGATGACCGCAGGCATGCCTCTTTTCCTCACCGAGTCTCAAATTACCTATTAAAAGGAAGCGACAGACTCATCGTCTTTCGGATCAGTAAATGTTTTTAAAGTGACATTTCTTCATGTAGTTGTATGTGGTGAGACAAATATGTGTTATTAGCTCAACCTTCTGGAAAGCAAAGTTGAAAGACTAAAAACATGTTTATACTCTAAGAGTATGAATAATCTAAGGGAAAATTCAAATTGTGGACAAAGATTTATATTTAAAACATTTTTACCTCAGTGTTTCCCCGCCACCCCAGTGTGTTTTTACATCCTTGAAAAATGAAAAACATAGATGACAAACATTGGGATAACAGTAAGTATTGGGTTAGCCAAAAAGTTCATCCAGGGTTTTCCACAGTAAACCCTGAACAAATTAACTTTCTGGCTAACTCAGTATTTATTTATTTGTGTGTCTCACTCAAAACTTGTATGTAAGAATTAAAAGTGTTTATGAAGAATATTTCACTATGTTGAAAATGCTTATAATGTATAATTTATAGTGAATAAAATACATACAAAATTGTATAATATATACTGTATGATATTAGTGATAATAAAAATATTATTTCTAATTAAAATTATCTTTGGTGAATCTATGGTATTGCATTCCCTTCTTTGTTGTTTTCTGTATTTTCCAAATATTTAAGAATGGGCATGCATTTTTATGGGCTTCCTTGGTGGCTCAGTCGGTGAAGAATCTGCCTGGAATTATGGAGACAGGGGTTCGATCCCCGGGTTAGGACGATTCCCTGGAGAAGGGAATGGCTACCTACTCCAGTATTCTTGCCTGGAGAATTCCATAGACAGAGAATCCTGGAGGGTTACAGTCCATGGGGTCACAAAGAGTCAGACGCAAGTGAGCAACCAACACGTTCACTTTTTTCCATGCATTTGTTATATAATAATAGTTTTAGAAAGAGCTGAGTTATGTTGAAAACATTAAATGAAAGGGCAGAACACTTGATGTCAGAGCTCCTGTCTGGCTTTTAACAATCTCTCTGATTCTAATGTTCGAGGACCATCCACGGAGTCTGAGAGGTGACTGCAGAGACCCAGACCCCCCAAGGCCCGTCGACCTTCAGTGACAAGTGGCGGCAGGCAGGGCTGGTGCCTGGGGTCAGCAACTCGCCAAGCACCGGGGTTCACCGGGTGCATGTGCATAGCTTCCCTTGAGGTCAGCTGCTTTTCTGAAGTCTTTCTGGAATCTTCCCAAGTGCTCAAGAAGCTTCAAGACCATTGGAAGTGGAGCAGTGTGCCAGGCCCCCATTCCCGCCACACTATGGAGTGCTGGGTGCTCTCCATCTACGTGGGGCCAAGGGGGTTTTCTGCCTGATAAGCGAGCTCTTTCTACCACTTTGGGCAAAGGGCTCGTGGGAGCCATTGGCCTCTGTGGGCCCCTCTGCCGTCACCCAGCTGGACTCCGGGACCCCGCTCACTGGCTCTGTCAGACCCCACATTCCCAAATGCCAGGACATGCAGGTCTGTTTGGCGCGTTGTGCTGAGGATGGAGAGCCTGGCACACATCATGAGAGGGGCTTGCTGAGGAGGGCCAGCCTGGTCATTCCCAGCCGTTTCTTGGGCGGTCAGCCCAGATGAGCCCCTGCTGGAAGGAAGAACTTCGTCTGAGTTCACTGGGGAGGGCCCAGCGTCTGGGTCCAGCCGGCAGCTTGTCAGGGCTCGTCCCGGACCGTCACGAATCAGCCATGTGTCTGCCCAGTTAGAAACCGGAGAAAAACAGGATTCAGAGGTGGAAAGTTGGAGACAGGCTTAGAAAGACAGAGGTCGACACGCCGTCAGTGAGAGGTGGAGAGAGACAGACACACGGGGCCTACAATGCAGCAGGAACCCATCAAAAGAAGGGACTAGTGCCTACAACATGCTTATCCTCAATGTAGTCAGGGAAACGCACGTTAGAGTAGCTGAATGTGCTACTCCACACCTACTAAATTAGCACTCATTAGGGAAATGATAACATCTCATGCTCTGAGGCTGTGGTAAAGCCAGCTTAAACACACTGTCAGGGGCCCTGCAAATTAGCACAGTCTTCTAGGGAAGGAATTAGGCAATACGGCTCTCGAGCTATTAAAATGTTCATCCTCTTGCCTGTGGTAATTAAACTCCTGGGAGTGGGTTGCAAGGAAATAATTCAACAGAAAAATAACAGGCCTGTACATAAAAGGATGACGAGTGCAGTGTTCTCGTCCAACTAGCCTGTCCAACAGGCTATAGGAAGGCTGCTATAAATATTTATACAAATAGCGAATATGAAGACTGTGGTATATGCAAATAAACAGAAAATAAAAACTATCAGTACATAAGAAATAATACATACATGATCCCACCATCTGGATGTTTGGGTGGCCCCACCCTTTCTGGCGAACGGTGGTCCTTGGCTCCACACACACTCCTGTCTTCCCAGGGGATCTGCCCTGCCGCTCCCTGTCTGGAGCTCTCCAACCATGAAGCCTGATCCGCAGACCTCAGACTGGTGGGGAGACAGTCTCAGCTGAGGCTGCCCACCTGGCCAGCTC